AGCTGAAGCGAAGCGACGGCACCCGGGCCATTGTGCTGCTGCCGACGCGGGAATTGGCGCTGCAGGCAGCAGCACTTTTCCAGCAGCTGACGCGGATATTCCCGTGGCTCACTGTGTCTGCTGTTATAGGTGACCCCTGCCGCTGCTGCTGCTGCTGCTGCTGCTGCTGCTGGTAGTAGTGGTGGCTGCGGCTGCGGGGCCGTCCACGCCCTCGTGCTCCGTCTCCAGCCGGCGCAGCCGCTGCAGCTGCTGCTGCTCATCGTCGCTGTCGCCCTCGGCTTCTCCCTGCTGCTGCTGCTGCTGCTGCAGGGCGGCGCATTCGTCCGCAGCCTCTCGGCGGAGCTGCAGCAGCTGCTGCTCCTGGCGGATCTTCTGGAGGCACGCGGTGTATATACACCTCAGCTTCGCCTCAAAGCCCAAGTCCAGCAGCCGGTCTGCTTCGTCCAGCAGCAGACACAGCAGCGGCAGCAGCCGCAAGCTGCTGGTGCTGCTCAAATGGTCCTGCAGCCGCCCCGGAGTCCCCAGCAGCACTCCAGTCCCCAGCCGCAGCCGCTGCTTCTCCTTCTTCCGGCTCTCCCCCCCTGCAGCAGCAGCGCAGCAGCAGCAGCCACGCGTTCCAGCAGCAGCAGCAGCAGCAGCAGCAGCAGCAGCAGCAGCAGCAGCAGCAGCAGCGGCAGGGGTCACCTATAACAGCAGACACAGTGAGCCACGGGAATATCCGCGTCAGCTGCTGGAAAAGTGCTGCTGCCTGCAGCGCCAATTCCCGCGTCGGCAGCAGCACAATGGCCCGGGTGCCGTCGCTTCGCTTCAGCTGCTGCTGCTGCTGCTGTGACTGCTGCAGCACCCGCTGCAGCAGCGGCACAGCCAGACACAAAGTCTTCCCCATCCCTGCACCGGAGCCGGAAACAGCCAACCCTAAACCCTAAACCCTAAATGCAAACCCTACCCGCCAGCAAAAGACGTCCGCTAGAGCTTTACCCCAACGCATCAGGGTTTAGGGTTTAGGGTTTAGGGTTTGGACCTGTGGGGCACTGAATGAGAGTGTCGTGGCCGTGCAGCAAAGTGGGAATGGCCAGCAGCTGAATCTTTGTGGGCTTTGTAAAGCCGTGGTGCAGCAGCGAGCGCCGCAGCCGCAGGTGCAGAAAGGCCCACTTCGAGTAGCTGGCAGCAGCAAACAGGCTTGCTGCTGCTGCTGCTGCTGCTGCTGCTGCTGGGGTTTCGGCCGGTGTGGCTGCTGCTGCCGGGTCTGCTGCGCAGGCCGAGGGGTCTGGCGCTGCTGCTGCTGCTGCTGCTGCTGCTGCTGCTGTGTCTGCTGCTGCGGGAGAGGAAGCAGCGCCGTGCTTATCTGCTGCTGCTGCTGCTGTTGCCGCTGCTCTTGGCTCTTCGCCGGGTGCTGTGCTGCAGTCCGACTCCACTTCACCTGGTGTTGTTGCTGCTGCTGCTGCAGGCCGCTGCTTGTGCGGCTTCCGCTTTTCCTTAGGCTGCTGCTGCTGCTGCTTCTGCTGCTGCTGCTTCTGCTGCTGCTTCTGTTGCTGCTGCACTTGCTGCGCCTGCGGGGGCTTCTTGAACTTCTTTCGCTTGCGCGCTGGCAAGTGAGCAGCCTTAAGATCCCTTTCTGCCCCCATCTTCGCAAACCCTAAACCCTAAACCCTAAACCCTAAACCCTAAAGCCTGGGTCGATTGTCCCGGCACAGGGCAGAAGCTCAAGTTTAGGGTTTGACGTCGAGGGCTAGAGCCTCCTTGAAAAAGAAGCAAAACTGGGGGTTTATGGATTACGATCGAGGGTTTAGGGTTTAGGGTTTAGGGTTTAGGGTCTCGAAGGCAGTGGGGCCCCCCAGGCTATTGAGTCCCACAAGGGTTTAGGGCTTGGCAGCGAGCCACAGCCAAGCATTCAACACCCTCTAGCCAGCGAGGGTTTATGGTTTAGGGTTTAGGATTTAGGGTTTAGGGTTTAGGGTCTAGGATTCAGGGTTTAGGGTTTAGGGTTGAAGGAACATTAGGGCTTCGAAGAGCATGCAGGGCCGAAGCTCGAGGGCCCCACAGCCCACTCTACCAGTGGCTTAGGGTTTAGGGTTTAGGGTTTAGGGTTTAGGGTTTTAACTGTTCTTCAGCTGGCGCTGACTAATGCTTGAGTTCGCGTCTCCGACGCGCCCGATGGTCGCGAGAGCAATGGCTAGGGTTTAGGGTTTAGGGTTTAGGGGATGGCCTTTGACCTGAAACTCGAGTGGCAGGGGCCCCTCCAGTTCGAGGCCCTCGTCCGCCGTGCTGCTGCTGTGGGTTTTGCTGCAGTAGCTGCCAACGTGTACATACACCTGCCGCCTCCACGCAAGCAGCAGCAGCAGCAGCAGCAGCAGCCAGCAGCAGCAGCAGCAGCAAATCTGGCCAAGGCCGTCAAGGAGGGGCTTCCTTTCCAGCACCCTCTCCGCGTCCCTTCCCCGCTGCCGCCGACTCGCCTACCAGCAGCAGCAGCAACAGCAACAGCAGCAGCAGCAGCAGCAGCAGCACCACTGCCAGCGACAGGAGCAGCAAAACAGCCGCTGTTGCAGTGGCTGCCCGACACTGCCCCCGCGCTATACTCCCACGCAGCGCAGCCGCAGCCGCAGCAGCAGCAGCAGCAGGTCCCCGGGTGCGGCCGCGGGCCCCTCAGCAGCAAGCAGTGGGCAGACATTTTCCCTTATGCTGCAGCAGCAACAGCGGCTGTGCAGCAGCAGCACGCAGCAGCAGCAGCAGCAGCACCTTGTGAGCTGCTGCAGCTCCGCCGCGTGACAGTAGTGCTGGAGTGCACTGCTGCTGCTGCGAGCTTCAGCACCCTTTTCCCAAGAAATCCCCCCTTCTACGCTGCAGCAGCAGCAGCAGCAGCAAACTCCCCAGCAGCAGCAGCAGCAGCAGCAGCAACACGGCAGGGCCCGTGCATTGAGCTGCTGGCTGTGCAGCCCACAGATGACGCGACGTGGCAGTTTGCCTGCAGCAGCTGCGAGTGCGACATAATAGCTATCGACTTTTCTGCTGCTGCTGCTTCTGCTGCTGCTGCTGCTGCTGCTCCAGCAGCAGCAGCAACGCTGCCCTTCACCATAAGGCGCAAACACGTGCTGCAAGCAGTGCGGCGCGGCATTTTCTTTGAAGTATCTCTTGCAGCCTTCCTGCAGCAGCAGCAGCAGCAGAAGGGAGCAGCAGCAGCAGCAACAGCAGCAGCAGCAGGGGGCAGCAGCAGCACGGACGCCCTCAAGAATTTGCAGCGGCTGCTGCGGTTCGTGCCCTCGAGGCAGCTGCTGCTGTCCTCCGGTGCTGCAACGCCGCAGCAGCTGCTACCACCTGCTGCTGGTGTCGCTGCTGCTGCTGCACTGGGCATCTGCAGCAGCAGCAAAGCCAACATGAGCAGCAGAAGTGCAGCAGCAGCAATTGGTCGAGGTGCTGCTTCCCACGCGCCTGGGGGAGCAGTGACACAGGGCTGGCCAGAAGCAGCGGCTACAGCAGCAGCAGCAGCAAACGGCTTTGCTGCTGCTGCTGCTGCTGCTAACATGCCCCCAATTGTAGTGCAGCAGCTGGAGGCTGTCCGGCAGCTGCTGCAGCAGCAACTCCAGTGTGCCTAAATCTATGACAGCAGCTGTTCGCTGCGCTGCGGCTGCAGCACCTGCTGCTGCTGCACCGCCTATTGCTGCTGCAGCGCCTACTACTGCTGCAGCGCCTGCTGCAGCTTATCTAAACCTAGCAGCGGCAGAACGAGTTCCTGCTGCAGCGCCTGCTGCTGCTGCTGCAGCAGCAGAAAGCAGCTAACAGCAAATCAGAGATCGTCTTCGCGGAGACGCACCCCGCGTGGGTCCGTTGCTGCTGCTGCTGCCTTGCTGCTGCGCCCACCTCGGCAGCAGCAGCAGCAGCAGCAGTCGCAGCTCTTGCTAGTGGCACTGGGTGTACCTGTAGGGCCCGTGGCTGCGACATCGCACTGTGCTGCTGCTGCAGCAGCTGCTGCGCTTGCTGCTGCAGCAGCTGCCGCCGCGTTTGCTGCTGCTGTCGCTGCAGCAGCAGCGGTTGCTGCTGCTGCGGCAGCGACAACTGCTGTTGTGTTTGCCGCCGCTGCTGCTGCAGCAACTGGTGTTGTGTTTGCTGCTGCTGCCGCTGCAGCAACTGGTGTTGTGTTTGGCGCTGCTGCTGCTGCAGCAGCTGCTGGTGTGTTCGCTGCTGCAGCTGCTGCTGCAGCTGCGGGTGCGTTTGCTGCTGCTGTTGCTGCAGCAGCAGCTGCTGCTGCTGCTGCAGCAGCTAGTTAATGTGCTGCTTGCGGCTGGCCTCATCTCTATTAAGTGCATGCAGCAGCAGCAAAGCCCCAAGAGGCACTGCAGCAGTAATTAGCGGCGGCGACCAAATGTAGCAGCAAAGCGAAGCCACGATGTGCAGCAGCAGCAGCAGACACACGCTCGGCACCACCATGCTGCAGCAGCAGCAGCAGCAGCAGCAGCAGCAGCAGCAACGCATGAAGCGGGTTCTAAGGCTTCAGGGTAAAAACTGCAGCTAACAGGTCCTCGGTCTAGGGTTTAGGGTTTCGGGGAGCGTTCGGCGCTACGGTTTTGAAGAGGCTAGGGTTTAGGGTTTGAGCTAGGGTTCAGAGTTTGAGCTAGGGTTTAGGGTTTGAGCTAGGGTTTAGGGTTTACTTGATGTCGGTAATCAGATAAAACAAATCTCCAGAAGGCAGCACCTTTCTCTGCAGAAGAAAAGCAGCAAAGGCATGCAGCTGCTGCTAGGGTTTAGGGTTTAGGGTTTAGGGTTTGCCGGCCCCTGCCTCTGCTGCAGTTGCTGGCCTTCACATCCCCTCCCCCCAAGTGCCACCTTTGGAGTAGCAGCTGCAGCAGCAGCAACAAAGCAGCAGCAGCAACAGAGCAGCAGCAGCAGCAGCAAAGTAGCAACAGCAACAGCGAAGCAGCAGCAGCAGCAACAGAGCAGCAGCAGCAGACTCCCAGCAGCAGCAACAGAGCGGCAGCAGCAGACTCCCAGCAGCAGCGGCTTACCCTCGGCCCGCCCGTCGTGGTATGCACTCGGTAGCTGTCTGCTGCAGCATCAGCAACAGTCGTCTGCTGCTGCTGCTGCTGCTGCTGCTGCGTTTCTGCTGCTAGGCGGGAGACCGAATAGCCTGGCAGCTGCTCGAGAGCAGCAATGGCGCTCTCATTCGGCACAGTCACGTACACTGTCTCTCTGCAGCAGCAGCAGCAGCAGCAGCAGCAAAACCGCTAACCCTAAGCCCTGCTCCTGCAGCCTCTCAGCAGCAGCAGCAGCAGCAGCAGCAGCAGCAGCTCACGTGTCCTCGTCGTGCTGCAGCACGTGGACGTCCAGGGGAAGGGCCAAGTCTTTGAACTCCTCGAGGCCGCTGGCGGTCACCGGGCGAACTGCTGCTCGAACTGGCGCCATCTTGCTGCTGCTGCTGCTGCTGCTGCTGCTGCTTCTGCCGCTGCTGCTTCTGCCGCTGTTCCCTGGGTATGCGCAGTGACGGAACGCCGGGGCAAAGAACTGAAGCACCCAGAGGCAACACACTCAGCTGGGAGTCGCGTGAAGGCTGCTGCTGCTGCTGCCGCTGCTGTCGCTGCTGCTGCTGCCGCTGCTGCTGTTGCTGCTGCTGCTGCAGCTGGTCTTGCTGCACTCACTGAACCCAAGAGACAGCCCAGGAAGAACAGAAATTGTGAAGGATCAAGAAGCTGGAGACTCAGAAGCAGCGGCGGTTTGGCTCCTCTTCCAAACCCTAAACCCTAAACCTAAACCCTAAACCCTGGACGTGGGGAGAAAGACGAGGCGCGCTGAAGCAAAGAGAGCCTTCAAGTGTACGTACAGCTGAAACTTAGAGAGGAAAAGAAATAGAGGCGGTTTTAGCGCCGATACAGAACAGCCCAAACCCTAAACCCTAAACCCTAAACCCTAAGCGTCTGCTGACAGCAGCGCTGCGGCGGGCGTGTGTACGCCGCAGGTCTTCGTCCTTCTTTTTCATTTTGAACTTTCCTTTCATTTTATTTAATTATTTTATTTTAATTTATTTATTTATTCATTTAAAAATACATAAAAAATGCGGCAAACTTCCAGAGGCCGGGCGACTTCGCGGCAGCTGCGTCTTCGAGGTGAGCGCTGAAGCAAAACCCTATACCCTAAACCCTAAACCCTAAACTCTAAACCCTAGACCCTAAACCCTAAACCCTGGAACTCAAAGTGGGACGAAGCTAGCTGTTCTGGCCCCCCTCCTCTGTGCTGCGGCCTATCTCGTTCTACGCGCTCGGTGTCTAGGGTTCAGGGTTAAGGGTTAAGGGTTTAGGGTTTAGGGTTTAGGGTTTAGGGTTTTCGGAGAAGAGCCAAGTAGCAGCAAGAACGTCACATAAGAAATAGAGCCTGCAGCTGTGACAGAGCTGTGGCTAGCCACAGCCAGGCCTAGCTAGCTGTGGCTAGCCGCAGCAGCAGCTAGCTAGCCTCAGCAGCAGCTAGCTAGCCTTAGCAGCAGCTAGGTAGATTTAGCAGCAGCTAGCTAGACATAGCAGCAGCTAGCCAGCCGTAGCAGCAGCTAGCCAGCCCCAGCTAGCTGCTGCTAAGCCCAGCTAGCTGCTGCCGCGCCTAGCTAGCTGCAGCTAGCCACAGCTAGCTGCAGCTAGCCACAGCTAGCCATAGAGCAGCGAAGGCACAAGTGGCAGCAAATAAAACAAAGACAAAATTGAATTAAAACAACAAAGCTCTTTTTTAACCTTAGTGGTTCTTTGGTCCTCGAAATGGAGCAGCAGCAGCAGCAGCAGCAGCAGCAGCAGAAGTAGCAGCAGCAGCAGCGACAGCAGAGCAGCTGCAGAGCGGCAGCAGCAGCAACAGCTGCAGCAGCAACAGCAGCAGAAGCGATATCAGAGCAGCAGCAGCAGCAACAGATGCAAGAGCAGCAGCAGCAGCAACAGCAGCACCAACAGCAGCAGCAACAGAAGCAGCAACAGAAGCAGCAACAGCAGCAGCAACAGAAGCAAGCAAGAGCCGAGAGTCTGCAGCGCAATCAAATGCTAGCTAAGTGCCAGCCACTCCCCACAAACTGCAGCAGCAGCAGCAGCAGCAGCAGCTGTGTTGCTGCTGCGGAGCTCCTGCCTATGTGCGCATGCTGCCGCTCTACTCAACGAAAAGGACGAAAAAAGAGCTGCCGTAGCTGCTGCAGCTGCTGCTGCTGTTGCTGATGCTGCTGTTGCTGCTGCTGCTGTTGCTGCTGCTGCTGTTTTTACTGCTGCTGCTGTTTTACTGCTGTTGCTGCGACTGCTGCTGTTGCTGCTCCTCCTAAAGAAGTCACTGCAGAAGAGGAAAGTGGCAGCTACAAATTGCTGCTGCGGTTACTGCCACAATTGATGATCTGTCTGGTGCAGCAGCAGCTGCTGCAGCTGATGGTGCAGCAGCAGCTGGTGCAGCGGTTGCTGAAGCAGCTGCTGCTGCTGCAACAGCTGCTACTGGAGCTGTTGCTGCTGTTGTTCCCGCTGCTAATATACCAAGCGCTCCTGCATCTTTTGCTGCAGCTGTTCCTGTAGTTGTTGCTGCCGCTAGTGCAGCAGCTGTTGCTGCTGCAGTTGTTGCTGTTGCTGGTGCAGCAGCACCAGCTGCAGCTGCAGCGCAGAACTCAGCTGCACACGTTGCTGCTGCCGCCTATTGCTGCTGCTTCCGCAGCTTCCTTGCCTATTCTATCTATAATAGTTAATGAATGCAACTGCTTCGATAATAAATGTGCCCCGCTGCACACTGCAGCAGCAGCAGCAGAAGCAGCAAAAGCTAGCAGCAGGACCCCGCTTTGGCCTTCTTCAGATTTCTGTCTTTGCGACATTTGCGGCGAAGACCCAAAACTAAGAAGACCCAAAACTAAGAACTGATCAGCAGCAGCAGCAGCAGCAGCAGCAGCAGCAGCAGCAGCAGCCAAAAGCCCTGCAGCAGGCGGGAGGGGCTGAAGAGGCCTTTTGCTGCTCATCAAAACAGATCCAGTTTAGCGCGAAGCATTTATATTCATTTTGTGCTTTTCTTCCTTTTTAATTCCGTCTTCGAGGCAGCACTGTGGCGCTGCTGCTGCTGCTGCTGCTGCTGCTACACAGCAGCAGCAGGCGGAGCAGCAGCTGCTGCTGCGGCGAATGGTCGGTCGCGGGTCTTTCGGTGCTTTGGGTGTTAATTTTTGGTTGAAACGTTTGTAGCAATTTTAAATTTTATTGCCAGTAAAGTCACTAGTGGATTTGTCGTTTTCATCTGCTGCTGCTGCTGCTGCTGCTTGTGGTGCCGACGGCTGGGGCGGCTGCAGCAGCTGCGGTGTGGCTGCTACTGCTGCGTCTGGGTTTCCCCTCGATCTGCTGCAGCAGCGGCTTCTTCGTTTGTTTTCCAATTAAGATTAGATTTTAGCTTCAAGACCGGCGCTTGCTGCGCTGCAGCGCAGCAGCAGCTTCGAGAGCGCCGCTGCGGGCGCGGGTCTGCTGCAGCCCACTGGGCCGGTCTCGGGCGTCGTGACCAGTGGTCCCCGTGGCTGACCGCTGGTGCAGCTGGCCCGCAGCAGCCGCAGCAGCAGCAACAGCAGCAGCAGCAACAGCGCAACAGCAGCAGCAGCAGCAGCAACAGCCGCAGCAGCAGCAGCAGCCGCAGCAGCAGCAGCAGCAGCATGGAGAGCGCGGAGGCGGGCGTGGCTCCCGCGGCGCTGCGGCGGGGCCAGTCGGGGCGCTGCAGGCTGCTGGTGGACGACGCGCTGGGAGCTGTTGCTGCTGCTGCTGCTTTCCCGCGCAGCAGCAGCGCAGCAGAAAGACGCACAGTGCTGCCTGTGGGGCGCGAGCTGCTGGCCGGCGTCGACAGCAGCGGC